TGAGACAGAATGGCAGCTAGAAACTTGAGCAAATGTCCCACCCAGAGATGAAATATTGTAATTACTGTTTCTGGTGTTCGCAATGAGAAAGAACATCCATTATAGTGAAGTCATACTGACCTGGATGGAGGTCCTGGACAGCTCAAAGATGAGAAAAAGAAGCAAAAGATAAAGATTTGGAACTAAACTGCTACTATGGGCATGTACTAAAATTGTATTCCTAGAAAGCTTGGGAGAAGCATCTGGAATGCACTACGGAGGGTAGAGTTTGTTCAGTTAGAAGGTCGAACATGATGTTAACATGTGAAAACTCCAGCTTGCTTCTCCTCTACAAGTCCTACAAAACATTATGAAAAAGACCCACTCGGGAAAACACTACCACTGCAAAACACCTCAAAATACTCAAGATCCAACTGAAGAAGAAAAATGATAAAATTTTATCAAAAGATATACAGGAAAGCCCAAGTAAGTAAAGAAAGTATTTGTGTATCCACTTAAAAAGATGCTCGCTGTCCTCAAGTCACTCTATAAATTCCATGGGCTCAAGATCAGTTCACAGCTGGACTTTCCAAAGGCCCTATAAACACAGTCTAACATTCCTCTAAGGAGAGGAAAGGCAGACTACCTAAGGACATTTGGGATGAGCTCTGAAAGAGAACATGCTGTTCCCAGTTTCTGAAGCAGACCTGGAGAAGCTGGCTTGAGGGTGAGTGAGAAGGACACACAGAACACACACTTTATGACTTTAAATGACACGAGATGGCATTAAGCATGGAAGCATTTTTGGTGTTCCCTAACTCTACTGTGAGAACTAAGCTTGAGTGCCCGCCATGGTGAACTGCCGCTTCCAGGACATAGGAAGTCCTCAACAGAGTTTTTTGCAGCATGGAAGTCCCCAGCCACAAAACTGCCAAACTTCAGGATGATTTTACAAGCCACATTATCCAGACCACGATCAAGTTCAATTTCTGCCACATTGCTATCATGCCCCCCTGCTGCACTAAACACAAAGCAAATGACAATGAGCAGGCACCACACGCCTGGAGGCACTAAAACCACACAAACAGGCCATATGGGATGCCTGGCTCTCATCACCATTCCTCCTCATGTCCATCTTTTGCTGGACTACACGAGAAAAATAAAAGAGCATGTTCTCTCCTTTTAAGCCTGTATTTTCAAAATGTCAGACACAACCATTCATCCACCAAGAGGAGCTGATGCGGGACAAACCTGGCCATTGTCTGTCACAATATCAAAACAAAAACACAATATGGAACAAAACATTGCTATATTGGTATAAGGAGTTAAAAGCAACTCCACAGAATAGAAAGAAGAGCCTAGCAGTAGAGCCGTGAAGATACGGGAATGCATCGTACCACAATTGGAATGTCACATCATTGGGGAAATGACAGACTGTTGTCCATTTGGAGAGATTAAGTCACATCACTACTTTTAATTATTCAAAAATGTAAGTCCCAAAGGACTAAAGCTAAACACACAAAGCAGAGCTACAAAACACCCTAGGAACATAGAGAACGTGACTCAGGGAAAACCTTTGTGAAACCAATAGGGAAAAGTGTTTCAATTTTGCCTTGTCACATTTTAAAACTCCGTCAAACGAAATTGCCATAAAAGTAATTGAAGAAATTGAACGGATTAGGAAAAGATATTAGCGCCATTTCAAACAAAGAGTTGGTATTCAGAATAGCTAAGAAACTCCTTGGAGAAAAAAGAAAAAGATAAGTGGTCCAACAGAGAAATGGGTGAAAGATATGAATTGGTCATTTGTATAAGAAATCTTATCCAGAAAAGAAAATAAACCATGCATATAAAATGAAAATATGAGCGGGGATAGGTTAAATATCAAATATAACTGTCGCTGAAACTCAGGGGAGTTGATCCAGTAATTGAGTGAATTCCCAAAGGAGGTGACTGAGAGAGACCCCGCAGAAGTCATACCAGAGGGAAGAGGTCACTTCTACCAGGGCGGAAGTCAGACACGGGAAGAGTAGAGAAAAGGCCAGTAAGGCTTGAGTGAAGGCAGCAAGTTAAGCTGGTACCCTAACTCTGGAGCGGGCTGCAAAGTCGCTCACACCCGCTTAAAGAGCTGGGTTTTTTCATTCAGGATGCAAAAAGGAATTCCTCGGTGATTTCAAGAGGAGTGGAGATAAAAAGCAGAGCTTCTAACTATTTTAACCCAAGGTCAGACAAGACAGGAGTAAGTGGGAGAGAGCCATGGCTACCAAGGAAGCCACCCTGGCGATCCTCCAGCATGTGTGAGTCGATGGGGCCATGTGCTTGAGCAACAGTGACCCCTCTGCCAGCCTGAGCCCGTGACTGTGGGGACAAACACTGTGATGTACAAAAAAGCAAAAAAAAAAAAAAATCATTTTAAACAATTTCTTTCCCATCTCACTTTAACAGTCGGGAGCCTAAGAAACCAACAGGAAGAGAAGGGAAGGAGACCTTTGGGCAACTCTTCTACTACTCAAATAAGCTCTTAGGGGCATCCCTGCTGTGGAGGTTGGAGAGAAACTTCGTTTTCGCAAAGGCCAGGGTCCTCCGTGGGTTGTAGTGGTTTCAACCGTAAGACAATTTTCTTGCTAAAACCTTTTCTTTCCAACTACAAGGTCAAAACTATACCAAAGTTAGATGAGTGAGGTTTTCAACAACAACAACAAAAATGTCTTTTAAATCGAGGCAGGTGGGGGAGATCTGCAAGCAGAGTTATTTCCCCCACTCTGCAGTACTTTAATTACAGTAACAGTGTGACAATTTCTAACACCTTTCATGTGAAGTGATCAAAAGCCGTTTTTATCACACCCGTGCTTTTATTTATATGAAGAAAATCTCTTCAGATTTCAGTGAAGAGGTGAGATTTATTACATATTTGCATCAAAGCTACCAACTCGTGCACCCGACAGCAAGTCATATTTTACCAAAAATGAAGCCTTAAAATTTTACTGTCATGAGGGTCCCAGGCCTCGGCTGTATTTTAGCATTCCTGCCAAGCTTGCCAAGAGGGAACGCGTCTTGAACTTTCCTGACCCGATTGTGTCAAACACATCTTCCATGTGCTCCATACCTTGCCTTGCTTCTTTTTGACAGTCATGTCTGAAGTTTAAGAAATTCTCCACAGCAAAAAAAAAAAAAAAAAAAAAAAAAAATCCTCCGAATTCGGCACACGCCTTCTCTCACATCTGGATCGAGGTACAGACCTCCCCACCCTGCACCCCCGGCTTGGCTGCCTTTTCCTGGAAGAAACGAGGGAATGTATGCCTCCCAACCAGGAGCTCACTCTCCTGGGCCCTGGTCTTTCCTTCTTTCTTACCCTAATTGTTATCTGCCCTTTAGAGCTCTCTTTTCCCTTGTGAGGCTCAGAGTCGGGTAGACTGAGAACCCCACAAATATTTCACCAATCAAACTAGTTTGCCCAGCAGGGTTCAGGGGGTGGTGACTTCCCTCTTCAGGTCCCTCCTTATAAAGTCAAATGGCGCCAAGGAGAAAGAACAGGGCTATGTTCAATGCTGAGGCCCAGAGGTGAGTGCCTTTTTGAAAGCAGCTCAAGCATTTCTGATGTGTAGTCAGGCTTCCGAATCGCTGGTTCCATGGCCTCTGACGTGGTTCATCCGGACAGTCCACGGCTGACGGCTAGTGAGTTACAGGAGTCAACCTCCCTCTCTTCTTTCAGTTGGCTACACGAAGCGTGATGGCTAGTTTTGGAATGGCAAACGTCCAGAGCTCTGGGCAGCTGTCTCTGGGCAGAACGGGAAAGGGCTGTGGTCAATCAGCAATGTCCTCCATGAGCAGTGAGAATGAGGACTCCCCTCAGCCCATGCTAAGGCAAGGAGGAGACCCCACAGGGAGAGACTTGGCATTGGTATGGAACAGTCCTGTTGGTCAGCATGGACAGGATTGTTCAAAAGACATCCGTAGATGAATTCCTAAATGGTCTTATTAAGTAAAAAGCATGGAGCCAGATATAGGGGTGAAGGCCTGAGAGAGATCAGGGAAATAGGGAAAGCCACAGCTAACCTCACCTCACCAACTCTGCAGCTTCCAAATGCGAGTTACTTCCTGTCTACCCACGCCCATATGCCTTGCTGTTCTGCCATCTGATTTGCTCTCTCTGTCCAGCTACACCACTTCCTCTTCCTGCCCAGCTCTGTCACTTCCTGTCTGTCTGTACAGACCTCCAGACCTCCATGGTTAACTAGTGTTGAAATTAAGGTGTGTGCTACCACACATGGCTCTGTTTCCAGTATGGCCTTGAACTTACAGAGATCCAGACAGATCCCTGCCTGCCAAGTGATAGAATTAAAGGCAGGTGCTACCATTGCCTGACTTCTTTGTTTACTTATAATGGTTGTTTCTATTCCTCTGATCTCCAGGCAAGCTTTATTTATTAAAGCACAAGTAAACTATCACCACATTTCAGCACAAATAAAATATCACCACCGACATCTACTCTTCTCTTTTCCAAATGGTGTTAAGGTGGAAAGTGTGGTTAGCTCTGGAAGACCCAAGATGATCTCTCCTTCTCATGACTGGCACACTGGTTGTTGGAGCCCAGAGTTAAGGCCCAAGTGGTAGAAGGGTGGAGTTGGGATTGGTTCTCTGGTTTGTCCCTTCAGCAAGTTAGAATTCATCAGTTGATGGTTCAGATGCTTAGAAGGGAAAAAATAAGAGCTTCAGACCTTACAAGGGTCTCTTGCAAAAAGAATTCTTCAAGCCATAGCAAATAAAAATAGCAGCCAGGTTCAATGGGAGAAGTAGGCTTAATTTCTTAAAACGTGTGTGTGTGTGTGTGTGTGTGTGTGTGTGTGTGTGTACATATATGTGTATATGTTTTAATCGATGTATTTATTTTGTGTGTATGTTGGGTGTGAGAGAGCATGCTCACATGCTGTGCCTGAGAGCGTGAACATGGAGATCAGAGGGTCACTTGTGGGAGCTGGCTCTTTCCCATGACCATGGGAGTCCCTGACATTGAACTCAGGATGACAGGCTTTTGTGGCAAGCCCCCTTACCTGATGAGCCAGCTTGCAGGCCCCAGGCTCTTCTTGATGGAAGGTCCAACCTACACACCGAGGGCTATGAGGAATGGCTGGCCACCATCTTTGCAGAGAATTTGTCCTACTCTTTATTCAGTCCATCTGACAATCTGTAAAATTGGTCTGAAAACTCCTATTATGAAATAGGTAAAGGGATTGTGTTGATATTCCTGACAGTTCATCCCTAATTTAAATTGTTTATATACCAACATAACTGCATACACATCCACTCAGTTGTATTCATAAGCACATATTTATATTCCTGCATTAGTTAATATCTAAATGTTGTTGAATGTGATCATTTGTTAGATTGCTGTCTGTGCTCGAGACTAATCAGTAAATGACAACGTTAGAGGGATTTTTATTGTTGTTGCCTTTGAGAATGCAACTGGAAATAGATTGGCAATACAACGAAAATGGCAGTTTCTTTCCACAGCTCTCTCTCCCCTTAAACCAAAGCTGGCAGATAGATAGGCTCCTGGGTCTCATTTTTCATGATGCAGTGCAGAGCAGTGAGGGGCAGAGAGGGAAATTACAAGCCTGGCCCCATGAGGGCCTCCTGGGTGCCGCATACCCCAGCTCGCCGGCTTCCTTCCTTCCTTTCTTTCTTTCTTTCTTTCTTTCTTTCTTTCTTTCTTTCTTTCTTTCCTTCCTTCCTTCCTTCCTTCCTTCCTTCCTTCCTTCCTTCCTTCCTTCCTTCCTTCCTTTCTTTCTTTCTACTACTTTTCAGACAGAAGCCACCAACCTGGACTCTGTTCTTGGAACAATATCAACAACCATGTGACCGAGTGCACAGCTCAAATGGAGAGACTGATAAGCAGTTGCGGTCACTTGTGGAGCTCTGCCACGTCCAGAAGATGCTCTTGCTCTGGCCCTCTCTGACCAGCAGCTCTTACAGTCTTCCCCCGTTCTCTTCCTCTATGGTCCCTGAGCCTGGTGTGTATGGGAGACACAGATGTCTCTCCTGTGACCAAGCACTCCACTGACACTCCGCACTTTGACCAGTTATGAGCTCACAGGCCCCAGGAGTAGACCCACTGTTACTGTTCCTTTAAATGGACGTAGTATCAAGCTACCCTCCAAATTCGTGTCTCTATACCCATAAGTCAGTTTGGCTCTCAGATCTCATCAGAGAAGTTTCTGTGTACAGTACAAGATGATTAGTGAAAAAAGAACTCCGTGTTTTTTGTTTTTTGTTTTTTTTTTTTGGTTTTTCGAGACAGGGTTTCTCTGTGTAGCTTTGTGCCTTTCCTGGAACTCACTTGGTAGCCCAGGCTGGCCTCAAACTCACAGAGATCTGCCTGGCTCTGCCTCCCGAGTGCTGGGATTAAAGGCGTGCACCACCACCGCCCGGCTATGGCCTCCGTGTTTTTAAAACCACAAGACAATTCATGTGTTGGTCACCAAGCTATAGTTAGCAGATTGCTTGCCATGTGACCTTTACTGAGGGGAAATGTTGGGAAATATTATTTTAAGGTGTGTTACTGTTGTCTATGTTGCATTTGTTTAGCTCTGTGAAGCTGTGTTACTGTGCCTGTCTAAAACACCTGATGGTCTGATAAAGAACTGAACGGCCAATAGCAAGGCAGGAGAAAGGATAGGCAGGGCTGGCAGGCAGAGGGAATATATAGAGGGAGAAATCTGGGAGAAGGAGAAGGAAGTAGCCAGAGAGAGAGAGAGAGAGAGAGAGAGAGAGAGAGAGAGAGAGAGAGAGAGAGAGAGAGGAGGGGCCAGGCACCCAGCCACGGAGTAAGAGCAACATTTACAGACGTGAGAGAATGGTAAACACCCAGAGGCATAAAGGTACTGGGATAATTCAGGTTAAGAAAAACCGCAAAAAACAAGCCAAGCTAAGGCTGGGCATTTATAATTAAGAATAAGCCTCTGTGTGTGATTTATTTGAGAGCTGGGAGATGCGCCCCCCCCAAAAGACTAAAAACAACCAACAACAGGGAAACACCATGAATGAAGTCATAGACATCATGTCACAGATTTGACTCTGTAGATGATGCCAGTTGTTACTCCAGCATGTGTACCAAGAACGTACTGTCCCTGACATAGTGTTACGTGCTGGGGAAACAGGACAGCAGGATACTTTTCCAGCTCTGTGAGTCTAGACAGGGGAGGAGGATGTACAATCTACTATATTACGCTACGTTCTCCACAGTACATTCTAACACACAGTAATAAGACATTAGAAATACCCGCCGGGCGGTGGTGGCGCAGGCCTTTAATCCCAGCACTCGGGAGGCAGAGGCAGGCGGATCTCTGTGAGTTCAAGGCCAGCCTGGTCTACAGAGTGAGTTCCAGGAAAGGCGCAAAGCAACACAGAGAAACCCTGTCTCGAAAAACCAAAAAAAAAAAAAGACATTAGAAATAACAAACAATATTTATGTCACACTTACAAATAAGACAATGTTCCGAAGCTTCAGCTTAGCCTAACTGCTCAGGACACCCATTCTTTTATTATTTCTGCTTTGTCAATGGGGAAATAGGCACAGAGAATCCAGATGGCCCAGTGCCTGTAGGCTGGGATTGCCACTTTCACGGTCTGGTTCTAGAGGTCATTTTAATAAATACAATATGGTAGAGATGGCAACTTACCAGTGTGGAGGAGCTGGGGACAGGCCTAAGGAAGAGTCCAAGATGTTGTCATTGACAAGGATGAGAAGAAGACACATTGATGAACTTGAGGACAGGGCACTCCTGAGGGCAGTGAGGTCAACTGGGCTGATAGGACTCTAGCATAGGAGGGTACTGAGATGTGAAAAGCCCAGTGTCTTCTGATGACACCCGTTAGGGACAGTCAGCTTCCGCTGTTCAGAGACCTTCCTCCTAATTCAGAATCATGTCCCCAGCGCTGACACAAATGGAATCTGGAAATGTGAGACGGGAAATCATGGTCATAAAGTCTCCTTGTGACCGCTTCTATGTTCCGGTTGTCTGAGTCCTCCTGCACCCTCCTATCAACTCCCCCCATGTTTGACAGTAGTGAGGACAGAAGGGTCACTGGGCTGAGGAGATGGCTCAGTCCAAAAAAAGAAAAGAATGCTTGCTGACAAAGCAGAAGGACCTGAGTTCAGATCTCCAGCACCCACACAGAATTGAGGGGCTCTGGCCAGGCAGAGACAGAATCTCTCGAGTTCGCTGGGCAGTCCTGATGAATTGGTGGGATACAGGTTCAGTGAGAAACCCTGTCTCCTAAAATAAAGTGACGTGCAATAGAGGAAGATGGGCAACATCAATCCCTAGCCCCCATGGTCCTGGGCACGCACGTATATAAACACACTTGTATGCACATTGTGTACTTACAAACATGCACACACAGGGCGGGGGAGGGAGAGAAAAAAGCAGAAGGGAGGGGGGGGGAGAGAGAGATTACCTGGTAAGTAAACCTGTGGTCCAGATCCAGTGTCTGAAGGAATAACACAGCCTATCCTCATCAGTGAACTCTCAATGATGTCCCAGTGCCCACCCTGCTAGTCCTGGGTCCACAGTCAGTCAGACTGTCACACAAAAGGACAGTGAAGCACGTTTAGAACCCTGGGGACTCCAAAAGAGGCAAACATTCATCAGCCACTCAAATGGCATTGGATCTCATCGTCATCTCAAAGTCACCGGTAGGCATTGGTACCAACCATCACCTATGAAAAAAAGGAAGAGTCAAGATGAGCTCCAAAGGGCCCTTGCAGCTGGGACCTCCCACTCGCAAGACTGTCTGCACATAGTGGGTGCCTGTTCTGTTCAAAGCAGGGCTGAGCCGGCAGGCTGTGCTATCAGAGCTGGAAGCTGGGCATCCGGTACCCAGCTCAGGCATGCCTATATTCCCATGGAGCGTCTGGCTTCTGTTTAAGCATTTCCGTGCCTCTCTGTAGGGTCTGCTTTGTAGCCTGAAATGAGATACCTGTCTCCCTATTAATATCCTCACACTGTCTGAACGCATTTTCAAAGCTCACGGAGCTTGGCAACCTGTGGGCCTGGCTTTGTTATTGTTGGTTGGAGTCTTGCATATTTGACTTAAAAATTAGCACTGAATGTGGCCTTATCTGACTAGGAAAGCATGACATAGAAAGAATGGGTAAATTTCCTTTGCAAAACAGACAACCTCAAGTGTGTTTTTCAGGCTGGGGATTTGCATCAGCTTGAATGAACAGCACCGGTGGTTCTCAGCAGGAAAAATGAGTGGTAATGAGGTCACAGGGAGGGCAACAAAGGAAAGGGGCATGGGGCAATGGCCACGTCACTTGGGTTCCCTGGTCCCTTCTCATCTCCGCATGATTCTTCAATTTTTAGATCCTCTTATTTCCTATCTCGTTCTATCGTCGCAGGGCTGGGTAGATGAATGGAGCATGGACAATTTGGTGTAAGGGCAGGATGCTGAAGAGATGGGAGGGCGGAGCTTCACCACCACCACCACCACCACCACCACCACCACCACCACCACCACCACCGCTTGGGTCTAACTTTCTCCTTTCCTCAAGTCTTATATGTTTGTCATATTATGAGCATGTCAGCCACCCTCTACTCCAACATTTATAATTTTTGCCATCTCTGTTCTACACAGTGACATTTTGGCCTTTTGTACACTCTCATTATGTCGTATGGTTATTATTTATCGTCTGTCTATACCTACTAAAAGGTAAGAGTTTTTAATTCACTAATATTTCTCAAGGACTTATCACTATGCCTGACACTTACCAGACAGTAATAAATGTTACTGAGCGAATGGATGGCAGACAGTAATAAATGTTACTGAGTGAATGGATGAGTTAGTGAATGGATGTTAGTGACTGGATGAATGGATGGATGAGAAGGTTTGCAAAGTCACAGCAAACTCTTATTTCATGGAGACATTTTGTTTTGTTTGTTTATTTGTTTTCTGGCATATCCAATGTATCCAAAGTAAAGTGAAACCAGATTGCTTATTGCTGCTGGGTCACTGAGATCAGGGACTATGCTGTCTTTGTCCAGGGGAAGAGAAGCTATGGCTTGGGTGAGTGATCCTGCACAGGACCTTTAACTCCAGATGTGGCTCCTAGAAACAGGAACAGAGGGAGGAATGTAAAACAGAAAGGCTTGTTTCTCATGATAGATATTCAGAGGGGCTCCCCCACCCAATCAGAGTGAGGGTGCTATATACAGCAACCCTAGATGTCGAGGAAGAGTCAGGTCATGTGCCCCCAGAGCTGGTAAAGGACCAGCACAAGAGCTGAGTGGGGATGCAGGAGCAATCTAATGAGCAAGTGTCTTAGTCAGGGTTTTTATTGCTATGAAGAGACATCATGACCACGGCAACTCTTATGAAGAAAACATTTAATTGGGGTGGCTAGCTTACAGTTCAGAGGTTCAGTCCAGTATTATCATGATGGGGAGCATGGCAGCATGCAGGCAGACGTGGTGCTGCAGAGGTAGCTCACAGTCCTACATCTTGTAGGCAACAGAAAGTTGACTGAGACACTGGGCAATATCCTGAGCATAGGAAACCTCAAAGCCCACCCCTACAGCGACACACTTCCTCCAACAAGGCCATACCCACCCCAACAGAGTCACACCTCCTAATAGTGCCATTCCCTAGGAGATTATGGGGGCCAATTACATTCAAACCACCACAGCAGGTGTGGCCTCTTCTAAACCCAAGGAAGCACTGAACAGGGGATGGTGGGTGGGACAGAAGGAAGGATTCTCAGAAGCTGTGGAGTCTCAACCAGGATGCTGAGGCCAAATGCAGGCAAGCTGGGAACATCTGTGTGGAGCAAAGCCTTGGCTGATGGGAGCCAAAGCTCTTAGGTTGGTCAGCTGGTAGCATCCAAGAGAAAAGTAGAGTCAGAGCCCAGAACCAGGTGAGCACATCCCCAGCAACCAGATGAGCCAACAGAGGAAGACTCAACTGAACGCCTTCCTTCAACATCTCCTACCTAGGCCTGGACTGGATGGGAACTGAGGAAAAGGAACTGAGGAAGGCAGCCAGGGGCAGGCACAGATGTGAAGAGAAGAGGACTACAGGGCAGAGCAACTGGGCAGGGCCGACTCAGGTACCCAAACACTTCTTCTTGGAGAAGATGGCCGAGTCCGAGTCTTCCTGATTTGGCAAGGCATTGCAGAGAGTCTGGACGCAGGCTTTCTCGGAGCTGCTGATTTAAAGTTGGGCAAGTCATTCATCAGTTTCCATTTCTTTTCCATCCTGGAGAAACTGAAGGAGAATGCGGGGGTGCGGGGGGGGGGGGGGGTAGGGGGCAGGAGAGCGCTGAAGCTGATGCATGCCCTGTGGAGACAGCAGCAGACATGCGCACTGCAGCTCCCTCCCGCTCCATTCCCCATCACACTGGACTAAACTTCAAAAATAAAAATGCAGCATCCCCTCCCCTCTCCTTCCATTGAGCTGCGGGGGGGGGGGGGGGGGGAGGCGGCATGTGTCCACCCCGCCAGCTGCGGCGAGAGCACCCTGTGTACAGAGATCCTATCAGCCCCGAAGAAAGCAGAAATATTAGACGCAGCTAAATAAGAAAACACAGATTATTGCTGGAGACCCCTAAGGCCTACTTTGTCTCGGCAATAGTTTGTTTTGCTTTTCACAGAATTTATTTTGGCTGCAGCCAGATTGATGGTGATTATATCTGAAATCCCTCCCACATATCTGTCACATAAACACTTGGTTTAATTCAGGTTTGTAAAAATCTACAGGCCAACTGGGAGCCGGCTTTTGGATTAATTAGCAGACATTAATACTGGGCATCTTGTCACTGAGGTCCAACCTGGTGACTTTCTCAGGAGTTTGAGCCTGGGAGCCGGATCAGGAAAACCAAGGAGAGACTGGAAAGGGAAGAACAAGCCACTCTGTGTCTGGCCTGACTAGGGAAACCAAATCCTGCGTGCAGAGTGGACCAAGATCGTCCATCCTGATCTAGCCAGAGGAGGGATATTCATAGGCGTTTTGAAGTGGATACAAAATAAACCCCTGCTTCCTGGAAGGTTCTGTTGATACCATCGCTAGACCCAACACCTCCTGGGAGGGGGAAGGGCCTTAGGGGCCAGGGCTGGGAGGGGGGCCCCTGATGGAGCAGTTTGAAGGGAGTTGGGAAACTGGGACCCCTCACAGCAGTGGCTCTGAATACAGCGAGCCCCAGACCCCTCTTCCCCGTGGTTACCCTGGACCTGCCAGCTCTGGGCAGGATTTCCTTCTGTCTGAAGAGATGGTGCCCCTCACAGGCTGCACATGCCCAGCAGCTGCTACCTTCCTCCTGCCAGTACAGGCCAAGACAAGAAAGGCTTTCTTTCCTACCGGCTTTCTAATCTCCAGGCCCCCTGACTCCGCAGGCCTGCTCTGGGCATGGTTACTTAGGGCCTCTGGGGCCAAATTCCCGCTTGCTTAGAAAGGGCTCCTTTCTTCTCCCCCGGCCATTTGCTTTCTATTTAGGGCAGGCCTCCTCCACCAAGGGGCTGTGCTGGAAGCCTGTGGGACATCAGCAGAGCTGAAGTGTAGTTCTCAAAGGCTTCATGAACATTCTCTCTGCCGTGCGTGCGTGCGTACACATCTGCTTGTGTACGGTGGCCAACATCGGGGTTTCGCCCCACTGCCTTCCATCCTAGTTTTCTGAGACAGGGTTTCTCACTGAACCTGGAGCTCACCAATTGGCTAGGCTTGCTGGCCAATGAACTCCAGGGATCGGCCTCTCTTGCCTCTTCCTAATGCTGGGGTTACTGATGCTTGCTTCTAAGTGCGTTTTGAGCATCTGAACTCAAGTCCTTATGTACGTGTGTGCACAGGCACTACACCAGCTCCCCAACTCAATTCATGTCTCCAGCTGAGAATAAAAATTATGGAATGCTGAAGCCATTGGACCATATGTGCATTGTCTCCATTAACCCCAAATCCTGGCTACCGAGCTCTCTGTGGGTCCATTTCACAGAGGAGAACTATTAATGATGAGGTGGAATGATCTGCAGGTTCATCTCAGTCTAGAAGGATCCAAAACATGAGGTGAGCCCCACCTTTGCTGGGACCTGCTTTGTTACCCCACCCTGCCACTGCCCCTGCTTTCCCGAAACCTGTCACTCACCCTGTGTCAGTAAGACATCAGACCAGAACCAGGTCCCCAAGCCTCTGTTTCCCTCTGTGTAAAGGAGAAGTGTGCGGCACTGCCCTGGGCCCTGGCTCCTAGGGCTGCGTCCCTCGATTCCACCTTCAAACAACCACAAGAACTAGGCCATCCCCAAGTGCTCAACCTGCAGAGGGACCGGAGGCCAGAAACCCGCTTCCAGCCGTATCCAGTTACTAACCAAACACTTGTCTTTCTCCCCAGCTGAAACCGAACGTGCCTGTCTGTTGCTTGGCGTTCTTCACGAAGAAAGCTAATTTTTAACCCTTTACCAACTCAGTTTTTTTTTTTCCTACAGCATACAAAACACAAGGCACCAATTTGTCTGGCTGACTGTGCACAGACCTCAGCTGGGGCTGCCCCTTGCAAGGAGAGAGGCTTCTGGGAACCCAAGCAGAACACGCCATTTTTAGCTTAGCCTGCCCTAATTTTTCACTCTGTCCTTTATCTGTACGAGTCACTTTGGAAGTGTGAGTCTTTCACCTCCTCTTCAAACAAAGGGTGCCACTGTTACGAAGTCGGACAAGGGGCAG